TAATATATATAACTAGTCATACTGAAGTACTGCCTTCATCTCAAAATATAAGAACCTAGGACCGGAAGATTCGTAATACTAGGAAATGTCCCATCCGGTCCTAGGTTATATTTTGGGACGGATGCAGTATATACTATGGCATGTCACATTTTCAATATCTGTGGCAGTGTTTACCTCTTTATGTGGATTATCTAACTCTTGCTTTGCTATTCTTTGAAGTAATTTGTGTCTAATTGCTGAATTGTTGTCTTTCTATGCTTGACCTGACTATTTAATTCAATTGAAAAAAACAGGCGGCTTTTTGCAGAAAATAAGGACCAGCTTGGTGTATCTCTGCCCTGCTGAGCACATCCCTCCAAAAATTGAGGTGGACCTGGCAAATCTTGACATTGGAGATAGGGTATCAATGAATGACATCCCCGTCCATCCGTCGTTGAGGTTACTGAGTAAAAACGAGACCATGCCTGTCTGCAAGATCTTGGCCTCGAAACCAGTTGAGTAGAGGAATCCATGCAAATTTTTGGAGCTTGGTGACAATGTACCCGAGTTGGTACAGCAGCCCAGTAACTTCATCTCCCTATGTGCTTGCATTTGGTAGCTGTTTGCCAAGTCCCAATGTGGTAATAGGTTCAAACAAGTTATCATGTTCAGGACCAATCTTGGCTGTAATGTCACAAAATAACACCAGCTTTCTCAGTTTAACATACACAAGACATTTTGTCGATTCTTGGTTGTGGCCTGGGTGTATTGACACGCCGAGCTGATAATGTCGAACTTTAAACATACCATGCCCCATTCTTATTGTTAACCATTCCTACTGAGTTGTTGTCATGACTCATGATCATCACCAGCGTGTCCCATGTACTGAATACTGAATGCATGAACTGGAGTGGAAAGATCATAAGACCAGCAATTTCATGCATGGTGTCACTGAATCATGTGTGCATGTATTTTTTGTCCTGTACGGGCAAAACTTTTCATATTTAACCCTTTCTTGGAATTTAATGGGCTGCGTTCTCGAGCTGTTTGCTCCAGTTTCATGGCCAGGCAGTGCCACAGTGACCGACCATCTGAACTCCTTTTCTGGCCTGGAATTTTGGACCATTGCATGATATGATCAAGATGAGATCATCTGCCGTCCTCTCGATATGGTAGCATCTGCAAATCTTTGCTACTGACGTTTTTTCTAGTCTTTTGAGGCAATATGCGTCCAAGATGACAAAACAACACTGCTTTGAATTGCAGCAGTGCACACAACACAAGCTATCTATCAGGATCGCTCTTGAACTCATTCTGCTCCGTTTCTTCTCCTATCATTGGCCGGCCTGGTCTAAGACCACAATGCAATACCTAACAGGGAAAAAAAAGAGAGACCAATCCAGGATGAACCAAAAAGTCATCTTCACTTGTCCTTTTGGATTAGTCCAACAACACATGATTGAAATGAAAAGCACTTAAATGTTCTTTGCTCACCAACAGCATGTGTTGTGGTTAAATGTAGGTGTATCTTTCGCAGTTTTGCAGAGAGGCCTCAAATTGCAAGGAGAAAATGGAGAATTGGAGATCAATCCAGGATGAACCAAAAAAAAAAAATCTTCGCTTGTCCTTTTAGATTACTCCAACAACACATGATGAAATGAAAAGCACTTAAATGTTCTATGCTCACCAACAGCGTGTATTATTGTGGTTAAATGTAGGTGTATCTCTTGCAATTTGCAGAGAGGCCTGAAATTGCAAGGAGACAATGGAGGAGGAAAGCAAGACAATTCCCAGTGCCTTTGGTGAACTGGATGGCCGTGGCAATAACTCCAAACCGATCCTAGGAACAACAACTACAACAACAAGGGACTAAATTGTTCAGAGGTCTCCGGTCCCCTACCATTGGCAATTGTTAGATACTCCTCTCTACCTCTATACAGCTGCGCCACCTCCATCCCATCCCATCTGCCTCTGCATTCAATTTTGCACCATGTACTTACCAAACAGTCATCCCTCCAAATTCACAAATCGCTACGCCTCCCCGACGTTCGGCGGCCGACACATGGGACCAGGGGGCTCATATGTCGGCCACCGTTTACCGGGGGTAATTTTAGCAGCGCCATGGTGCGTGTAGCATTATTCGTTGTATTTTGTACTAGTAGTATGTACTACTATGTACAGACAAACAGGTGTATAAATTCAGGGCTGGTGCACAAGTTATTACTGCCTCGTTACATGTCCGGGCTGGGCAGCAAGCAATTCGGTGTAGCAATTTGTTCCCTCTCCCATGCAATGCTATACAATACAGATTGGCAATTCATAATGGCAGCAATGGCCAAATTGGCCACAGAAAATTGATTGGGTGATACTGCCGCAGTGCTGCTAGCTGCTATAACACTGTTACACTGGCCTTCTACTTCTTTCTGACCTGAGCTCTGAAAATCTGATAGAGCTTAGCATGCATATGGACAATACCACTATAATGTCTGGTCAAACGAGGCACCTACATTTTGCATCAAAAATGAAAAAGAAAACAGGCACCTACACCGTACATCTAGCATCAAAAAAGGAAAAAAAAAATAGGCACATACATCTAGTAAAGGGGCTCTCATGGCTTAGGATGGGGACAATTGCTTTTGATTAATTTAGCCCTCCTCTTGATTGCAAGTACACCAAAAGACCTTGGTTTGCATGCATTAATCCTAGATTAATCACAGCTTGCACGTACATACACATGCTAGGGGAGTTTAATTAATTAAAAAAAACTCTGTGCATGCATGAGCAGAGACCTAGCTGACTAGTGAATGGTTGTGTGTGGGGATTATATAAACAATGGAACAAGACAAGAAATATTAAGAGGGTGGCCAGGTTGGGAAGAAGGGAAGTCAGCCCTAGTTGTTAGCAAAAATGTATTGATTTCACTACAGATCTAGTACAATAACATTGATGGTCAAAGGATCATCAGGCATCGGTTTTAATTATATTTATGGAAGTCCTGATGAAATATATATACCATGTAGTACCTAGATTCTGAGATATATATATATATATATATATATATATATATAATATACTAGCTAGTTGCTTTTCTTTTCGTTTGGTTAACTGCACCCATTCTAGGGTGGGCTATTCCACCAATTGTGGTACCAGAGCTAAAATCAAAGGGACAGTTCCTTCGTTCACATTTGGACATTGGCAGTCCCACCAAATACATATTGATTTGTATTACTTAAAAAAAACTAATAATACTATGTTATGAAAGTACTTGCTGTAACACATGATCAACTTGTTTGATATTTATACATGCAATCTAAATATTTTAGTAGAAATACATAGTATTGAAAATTCAACTTGAAAGACATGTCCAAAAGAACATGTTTTTATAACCGTTTAATAAGAGCCACTTATTAATTGCAACATAATTTATGTACCAGCGTGGCAAGCCATGCGTTGGTCTCTGTATGTGATAAGTGTGAAGACGTTTGACAAAAAATCGTGTCATGACAGTATGACACGAGCTACAGAGCTAATCAAGAAACTACGGTAAAGCTTTCGTGCGTTTGGTATTTTGCTACACTCGTAAACTTTATTGTAGTTTCTTGATTAATTAGCTCCGTAGCACGTGTCATGATATAACTTTCGTCAAATGCTCTCACACTTATTACATACAGATAAACACGTGGCTTGTCACATTGGTGTGCTTTAACACTTCATGATGGGTCAAAATCATATAGGGAAGTGCGAAAAAACAAGGAATCATAGTGATAATATGTGGATGTGGAAATTTAATCTTCCTGGCGGTTAGATGCCATAAAAACCTGCGTGGTGATGAACTATATAGAACCTAAACCTTATATACAATTTCTCAAGCTGTTTCCTAACATTACAGATATTGCAATAACAACTAAACTCTAATTTTCTGGATTTAATAGTTGGAGTAACAATTTTCAATAAGTTAACCCTATCTTGCGCAGCTAATAAATTTAAAGCTAGTACAAGATATACAGGAACTCCTTTTAAACACATCAATGGTAAATTATATGCAGGGAAATCATTGCGCTTTGATAGGAAATAATGTGTAAAATGGAGGACTACGAAACACAAGAATACAGGGATAGCCGCGTATAGACAAACCATAGAAAAAAACACAATAAAAATGAGGAGATATTAAACTCAGAAAAAAAAACCCCATCAGGTTGGGGTTCTCCAAAATCCCTAGTTTTGGGGAGCCATTCGAAAGATATTTCACACCATTCTAAAAGCCTCAATTTGTTCCAAAGGGTCAAATACAAAATCTTTCCATAGGATTCAAATCTTATGAAAAACCCTCCATAAATTGGATCATTGATGTTGAATGGGTTCGAACCTAAATGAAAATCATTACGTTTTTGGCGGTTGAGTAGGGTCGTGAGCATCGGTGAGTGCATCACACTGTTGAGTTCCATGTGTGATGAAAGGGATAGGACCATGAGCAGATTGGATTGTGGCAATGCAAGGCATGGTACATATGCATGTGAGATTGTGAAGCTTGTGGAAGCATATGCTGGCCACCCTGAAATTTCAGAAAGCAAGATGAAATGGAAGCATGGCATTGCTTCCAATTGAATAGCATTTGGTTTGTCCTGCATTTCGAACAAAACAAACATGCATATCCGGACATTGTGATGATTTTTCAACAGCGTACCTATAGATGAATTAAGAGAGCTGTCAGGCTCCCAGGCAAAGCATGGTAATAACTTCATCGCCTGCTTCTTTTGTATCTTTCTGAAGAAAGGACACGTCTTAAGGATCATTGGCATGCATAACAACTGTGCTTATGCATGATCTCAAAAGGGCAGTAAAGTATTAATGATGAACCACCACGGGACTCGGATTTTTGTCTCTTTGCACAAATAAAAACGACTAGAATCCACTCATTATTAGTATATTTCAGACAAAATGAACTACTGGCTTTTATTTCTTTGTACACAAAAATATACTAGAGCAAATATAGCAAAGGAACAAATGCAACAGCAGGAAAATAAAAGGAAAAGAATCAGATCGAATGAGACTATATATATATGTTCAGGAATCAATGCAGAAGTGACCAAAAGACTAGCTAGTACAGTAGTTAAAAAGGATCGATACTGCAGAAGAATCGAAGTATTTTTCTTTGTTTTTTTTTTGTTTTAACGCTTGCTGCTCCCTGTGTCCCAGCTGGTGACTGCCGGGTTATATCACTCTACTACCATTTGCCCCCCATTCTGATGAACAGAGACCTCCACTGTCTCACATTCTCACTCCTCTGTCTGTCTGCTGCCAGACTCTATACAATGTTGTGGGTTTTTTTTTTCCTATCACTAATTACTTGTGGCTACAAAGCTCCATGATGAGGGTCTGTCTCTGTTTCTGGCTGCATTTATTCGGCTCTCACTCTGGAGGGAAAAGCAACTCATGAAGGAGCCTGACAAAGCATAATTCCAGGAGGATGATAAGTCAGTGAATCAAATTGATTGGGGGTTCAAAAGAGTTGCATAGTAATATCATATGCGTGATGCCAAGACTATGCATATGCCTATGTCAAAATCTCTGATATATGCAGCAGTGAGTCAGATGCGCATTGCTGCAGCTTCAAACCGGCCCCTACACAAACACACACACACAAACACAGAAGAGAGAGAGAGAGAGAGAGAGATGCATATGCAATTATGAACATAGAAGTCCATATCAAATGACCATTGTGTTAGGTTACAGTTCTGAAAAAATTTAGTCTGTACTCTGGTTTTTGGACAGTAATTCAGTCAATGAATAAGAGAGATGACCAGTGTTTTTATTTAAAGAAATGCCACTGTTAATTTATTTTCTTGCTGACAGAAACCCATTAGTCTATGACAGACTGTAAAATATAGAAGCAGGCCACATGAATTGATCGGCAGACAAAAATATGTAAGTACCAGAAATGCAATTTCAGATCAGTTTTACACGTTTTGAACATGAGAGCATGCTCTCTAGTGCCTGTCAAATACTGACCTATACATATCGCTAGCTATCTATATACTGTTTTTAAGTTTTCTATACACACTATTCTAGAGTCAGATATTACAGTGAAAGACGAAAATTGCTACTATATATATGTACTGTTTTTAACTTTTGAAACAAACCAGCATGCACTGAGGAACTGACTCTTAAAATGTTATAGAAATTGCTATTTTTCCATTAAAAAAGCACAATGGCATAAATTTATAGTCTTATAGATAGAAGAATCGCCCCATTGGAAATAATGTGGTGCTAAAAAAATTCCAATAGAAAATCTTCGTGCAATCAGTGCAAGAAACAAAAACTTATTAGCTATACTTGTATAGCTGCTTCACTCAGATTTCTGAATATATGGAGTACATGGCATTAGCAGGAACTATAATCTAGCTCTTAACATACTAACATTCTAATTACACAGTGCTATATATGGTTCATATCGAACTCCAAAAACATGTTTTAGATATCTGGAATTCTGGATATTTTCACTGAACAACAATGATTTGGTAAACGAGAATGATGATTCTGTAAATTCCAGAAATATTGGCTTGTAGAATGGGGTCTAATCGTGCACCACATAAGGAGAATTTTCTACCTACACTGTTACATATATTTCCATCCCAAAATTTCTGTAATGTTGTGTATTTTAACTGGTCACCCATGAAAGTCATCAGAAAATAATTCAAGAATATACGTGCCAGTACTATTGGAGTTATCAAATATAATATAAATAGAAAACAATACTCCTACATCACACGCTCAAACAACTCGAACGGCATGCACATCCCATTTTCCATTTTTATACTTTAGTTTCACTCAAAAGATTTAAATAACTCAAAAGGGAGAAGAAAACGAGGCTATAAAAATTTAAAAAAACAACCAGAGAGAAGAAAACGAGGATAGAAAGTAACTAAAAAAAAGAGAAAAAACCATCACCAACTATGTTGAAGTACTCCATAAACAATTCTTTAGCTAAGCTATTTCTTTATGCACTAATCAACAATGAATCAGCAATCAGTTTGCGCAATCAACAATGAGATTTACAAATCCAAACACAGATGGAATCAAGAATTAAGATAGGTGGCAGTGTCGGTGGTAACGAAAAATACCTTGAGAAAGATCACCACCTCGCTCGCCTTGAGAAGTCATGGATGCTTTCAGGGAGGCATGGGTGTCAGTTTGCTCGATATCATATGAGATGAGGGAAGACGAAAAGACTTGTGACCGATCGATGAAGGAATTAACAGCTGCAAAGAAACCGAAACGAACTAGATGGATCGAGAGGAAGGTTGATGGAATCATGGAACACACACACGCACGCACGGCGACGGAGACGGAGACGGGGCCGGGCGCGCGGCGGTCAGCCCGGCGGGGCGGCGCCGCCGCTCCCCTCGTCGCTGCCGTCCGTGTGGTGGTGCCGGTGGTGGTGGTGGTGGTGCTGCTGCTGCGAGACCTCGTCGTGCGAGTGGCCGGATGACGGCTGCGGCGGGGACGGCTCCATGTGGTACGGGAGGGCCATTGCCGGCTCGGTCTGCACCGACGAGGGCGGCTGCTGGCGAAGGAGGAACGGGCCGCCGTCGAAGGTGTCGGCGTTGAGCGACGACGACCCTGGCGCCTCGACCGCGACGGTGGCGCCGGCGTTGGCGTGGCCGGCCTGGCGCGCTCGCAGCATGTCCTGGTCCCGCGCGACCTCGACGAGGGCCATGTGCTGCGCGTTCACCATCTGCTGATGGTGATGGTGGTGGTGCGGGTGCGGGTGCGGGTGCGGGTTCTGCACCTGGAGGCCGGCCATCTGGTGCTGCACCACCTGGTGCGCGTAGCCGGCGGCGCCCATCCCAGCACCACCACCACCACCTTGGGCTTGGAGCTGCTGGTGGTGGTAGTCGGCGGGGGGGAGGTAGTGCGTGTGCGGCGCGGCGGCGGCGACGACGGGGGCGAAGGCGGTGGGGCCGATGTAGGCGGCGAGCTCCTTGCGCGCGTCGACGATCTGGTCGCGCACCTGCTTGATCCTGAGCTGGAGGATGGAGATGTAGGCGACGCAGCCGTAGACGGGGTCGCGGAGGCGCGCCTCGGCCTCGTACGCCAGCGAGTTCACGGCGTCCTCCCGCTGCTCCGGCTGCAGGTCGTTGAGCAGCTTCGTCACGTTGCTCGCGCCGAACACCTTGTGCACGTTGGCGAACTTGGCCGGCTGGTCCGGCGGGAAGTAGGGCGCGAACACGCACCCCTGCGTGCACTTCCGCCGCAGCAGCTTGCACGCCGCGCACGGCGAGCTCGACGACGACATCTCCGATCGATCTCTCCCAAGTCCCAACCGAATCGATGGCGAGGCAGAGCACCCGAATTTAAAGAGATCGAACGTCCTCCAACGAACCCTAACAACCTTCTATTATCTCCTACAAAACAAAACAAAAAACAGAAGAGAAAATTCGATTGAAACCACTTGAGATCAAATTTTCAAAACACTGCATGATCCTAACAGAAAAAAAATCAGAAATGGCGACGTGTACACATAGCCAAATCATCCGCTAGGGCAGCATCTAAAATCTAATCAGCGTCGTCAATGTCGTCGTCGGAGAGAGAGAGAGAGAGAGAGAGAATTAACGCATTAATTCAGCCATGTCCTGGAGACAACTACTCCTGGCGCACGACGACGACGGGTCGGGAGACGCGCGCGCGCGTACCTGCTGTGTTCCGAGGACTAGATGGCGGCGGCGGCGGCGAGCGGGGAGGATGAGGAGGGGATCAGATCCGGCTGGCCGTGGCGCGGATCTGGCCGGCGCCTGCCGCCGCCCGCAGTATACTCCCCTCCCTTGTCGGCGGCGAGCGAGGTCGTCGACGTCCGGCTGCCGCTGCCGCTGCCGCCGCGCGCGCGCCGCGACAATGCTGCATCACAACAACAACGAAGACGAGGAGAGAAAGCACCCGCGATTAGGATCCACGCAACAATCGTCATCATCATTAGCAGATACACACACAACACGAGAACCCGAGCCACCACCAACAACAACAACGAGAAGAAAGAAACCCCAAGCCCAATCCGCTCCTCGGAACCCGAGCGCAATTTGCAAAAACAAAAAAAAGAAAACCGGAGAGAGAGAGACGACGAGTCGACGACGAATAAAATTTATGGGTTTAAATCCCATGGAGCTCGCGATCAGCGCCGCTACATAGGGAAGAGGAGAAAGCAATAGGGAATTTAGAAATGGGGGGAGATGCGATGCGATCGGAGGAGGAGGCGCACCTCGTCCGGCGCGTTGGATCTCGGCGATGGATTTGCGGCGGTTTGGGGGGAAGGAGGTCAGGAGGAGGAGGGAGACTCGCCTCCCCTTGCTGCTTGCTACTCAGATCCCAATGGGAAATCAGGAGAGAGAGAGAGAGAGAGAGAGAGAGAGAGAGAGGAGAGCGGAGCAACGGGAGGATGGAAGAAATAGTAGCGGGGGGCTCCCTTCCTCCTCCTTGTCGCGTGGATTGCCTCCGCCAAAAAAAAAAAAAAAAAAAAAGAGTAAAAAAACTACTAATCCTGGAAGGATCGGTGCATGGGTGGGAGAGAGATTTGTGACACTTAGACACGTACTCCCCTCCGTCTCATAAAAACAAATCTAAGATATGATATAGACATCTTCATAGTATTACACGAATATATCCAATTCGATATTGATTTTCTATAAGACGTAGGGAGTATGGGGGAGGAGTATCACGACCGTATAACGTCACACGGTTGCGTTCTGACAACCATAGAAGCGCAGTAACATATATACATAGGTACCCGGCCCACTATAAGGCACGCACGCGTATGTGTGTATACCTAGAAAATCATTAATTGTTAGTTGTGCGGTGGTGTTACGGGTGTATAGCTAGTTTTGTTTGTAGTAAGAATATTTTTGCTCGGATTTTAAGGGCGTGTTTAGTTGGCGAAAATAAAATTTTTGGGTGTCACATCAGATGTTTAACCGGATATCGGAAGAGATTTTCGAACATGAATGAAAAACCGAATTTCATAACTCGCCTAAAAACCACGAGACGAATCTTTTGAGCCTAATTAAGCCGTCATTAACACATATGGGTTGCTGCAGCACTTATGGCTAATCATATACTAATTAGGCTCAAAAGATTCGTCTCGCGATTTCCATGCAAACTATACAATTAGTTTTTATTTTTATTTATATTTAATACTCAATGCATACGTCTAGATATTTGATGTGACGTTTTTGGCGGAAAAATTTGAGAACCATACCAGGCCTAAGTTTTAGAATTGAAACTTGTACTCATAATTGAATTATGAAGCTAATTATTTTTTTAATGGTGTGTAACAGGTGATCGACATTGAGGAGTTTATAATGACTTCATCGAAGATACAATGGACGCTTGTTAAATAATAATAATAATAATAATAATAATAATAATAATAATAATAATAATAATAATAAAATTTGAACTAAAAGGAGGGGGAACATAGTAATATGATTATGTCAGATTTGATTACTAATAGCAAGTTTTATAAGAGCCTCAGGAGTAGCGTGAAGATATATACCTTTGAATTTTGATCCGGACTACCGTACTATTCTTGTGTTAAAAAAATATTTTTGATTCTTCGCAAAGAAAAACATTTTTTTTGATACGGGCTAATTAATTAGAGGTGAATAGAGTGATGATAGCCTGATAGGCGTTATGCCAACTTGGCAGGGTACAATACAAAGCTTGGGGATTCAGTTAAAGTGTTCTGTTTGTTTGCACAATACAGCAGTAACTGCAAGCCTATGTATGTCAACAAACCCATTGGCCAGCTGGAGCCCAACTGGAAAGGCATCCGCGATGTTCTATGGTAGATTATGTCCATACTGGTTTTTCTCACATATATAAGAAGAACCATATACATGCATAAGTGATTATATTTACATTAACCATTTGATATACTCCTTCGTTTTTTAATAGGGTTAATTTGATCTATGTTACTATAAATATGGCAAATAAAAAATACTATTATTATTCATTTTAACTACTAGGTGTCACTATAAATTTCTAAAATTAAAACCATGCCACTCCGTCATTTTTTCCGTTCTCCCCATCCTCCCTCCGTGAGGACGTGAGGCCACATGCTCGGTGACGACGTCGTGGTCGTCGTCGACGGCGGGCACAGCATTGCCGGCGAGACCCCGACAAGCCGCCCGCCGCAAAGTCCAGGATCTGCACCAGCGCCACGCTGGCTGCAACTCCGCGCGTACCGCATCAGGTCGGGGAACGGCGCCGCCATGGAGGAGGCCGACGTTGGGCCATGCTGCAGCGGATGGGGCACGGCGCCGGGAGACGAGGAAGCCATATATTGAGGCATCCAAAAGCTCCAAGAAACACAGCATCGGCGTGCGAGGAATCATCCATCCAAGACCAAGTTAGGTGAAGATGAGCTCGTCGCTAGCAAGAAGGCGTCGTCGTTCGTGGTGACGGCGAGCATGAGCACGGTGGAGGCGCTCAAGGACCAGGCGCGGGGCTGCGCAGGTGGGACTCCGCCAAGCAGCAGGTCACCGGCATGCCGTCCCGGTGTCGCTGTCGTCGCAGACCGCTGGCAACGGCGTGCCGTCCGTCCTCCCCCGTCGGTGCCGCCGCCGCATGCGGCAGGGCCACCAGGCCAAAGAGGTCGGAGGAGAAGATGCAGAAGGCGTATCACCTCGTCTGCTGGGGACCTAATTAAATCTTCAATTCGTGTAGTGCTTTCGTTTGCAATTAGTCCACGATCTCCTGATGGAGAATTGCTACGTGCAAACTACGGAGTAAAATCAAAAAGAAGACGTCGGAGCGGCACTACCGTGGCGTGCGGCGGCGGCCGTGAGTCCGCGCGCTCGATGCGGAGCTCGGCGACGAGGCGCAGGTCGCGGTCGGCGAGCACAGCGGCGTCGGCGTCGGCAGCATCAGGGTCGGCAGCGTCATCCGGGGCGGCGGAGGAGGATGGGGAGAGTAAGGGAAGACGGAAAGATTGACCGGAGGACGGAAAGAGTGACGGCGAGGCATGGTTTTAATTTTTTGAAATTTACAGGGCACCGAGCAGATCACGTGAATAGTAGGGGTATATTTTTTATTTGCCACATTTGTATTGGTATGGATCAAATTAACCCTTTTTAATATACGATGTTGTTGATTTTTTTTATATCATTTGACCATTCGTCTTATTAAAAAAAATTGTGCAAATCTAACACTTAAAATTTATCAAGTGATAAATCAAACCACAAGAAAAGAAAATACATTTACTCAATTTTTTAATAAGACGAATGTTCAACCATGATGTAAAAAGTTAACGGTTAATATATTAAGAGTAAAATACATGGCCGGTCCTTAAACTTGCGCGCGGGTTTCACTTAGGTCCATAATCTTGCAAATTGCACAGTCAAAGCCACCAACTTGTTTTAATGATTCAGGGCAGGTCCAAACCCCACTTGACCGGCTCTGACCGCCAACGTGGCACGCCACGCAAGCACCAATTTTGCAAAGAAGCTCCTCCGCAAACAGTAGCACCATGGCGGACACAAAAATCCCCAAATCCTTCGCAACCATCCCATTCTAGGGTTAGCGGCTAGCCAGGCTGTTGAGGCGAGGAGGGATAGGTGTGCGGCGGCGACGGAGGGCGACGTGCGGCGGCGACAGGGGGCGGTGTGCGGCGGTCGGAGGCGGCGAGGTTGCAGCCATGGCGTCTGCAAGCTCATCGTCGTTAAGCACCCGCCGGAATAGGTTAGTTGTACCTTTGATCGTGTGCCCCTCATGCAATGTGAAGACCATCGTGAGATGCACAGCGAAGACAGATGCTAATCGAGGCCGGATTTTTTACACTTGTCCTGACCATGAGGTGAGTTTTAGTTTGGTTGGTTTGGTTGGAATTTGTTAGCTGGCAACCTCGCTGATTAGTGTTGATTTGAGTTTGCTTGTTATTTCTGTAGAAAGATGGAACTGGGTGTAACTTTTGGTATTGGGAAGAAGGTTACATCAATTATCTGAAGAGGAATGGCTTCATTGCTGGAGAAGATGGCACATATGGGAAGACTGCTCAGCATTTGGATCTGAATCAAGATGCTTTTGGGAGACAAGATGAAATTGAGAAGAAATTGATAGCTATAGTGCCCATTGTTAGAGAAATACTGTTGGCAGTGAAGTGCATGTTAGTTGTAGGGTTATTTGGAGTTCTTATTTTAGTCTGTGTTCTGGTTGTTGTCTTGATGAAATGAAGGTGGAATTGAATGGAGAATGAAGAATGCTGAATGTATTTTGGTTGTGCCAACTTTTGGAAATGAATGTATTTTGGTTGGGCTGGAATAATTATGAATGTTGCCATTTGCACTGAAATTTACAGCATTTTCAGTTTGAAAAATGTGTTGGAATTTGTGTGGAATGACAGGCTTTAAAAAGGCAGGTTTAAAATGACAGTTTCAGGATTTACAAATACAGGTTCAGAGAAGAAATTGCTTCTTGCAGGATTAAAATGACAGTTGCAGATTGAAATTGACAGCAACATTGCATCAGTACACATATATGTCATAAATGAAAAGCACAATTGATCTGAGAACCAACCACTTCATTGCATGACAGTTTAATGTTTTATCCAAAAGCACATCACCATAACACATCCACATCCAAAATGTTTGCTGTCATGGCACTACAGACACATTTACATGGCAGCAACATTGATGTCCAAAATATACATCCACATCCACATCCACATCCACATCCACATGCACTATTTCTTGTCATGAACATGAGTTGGCAAGCAAAAGTATTCCTATGATCTATGAACAAGCATGGATCATTGCAGCAGCAGTACTATATTCCTTCAAGCCTTCTTCTTCTTCTTTGCAGCAGCACCATCACTCAAGCCATCTGTTGCCTTCTTTTTCTTTGAAGTGCCAGCTGCATTCTTCTTAGGCTTGGTCATCTTTGATCTTCCCTCTTTTGTTGAAGTGGTTAATACCACTGGTCTAGCTGTTGGCTGGTTTTCTTGAATGAAAGCACAGTCAGGTAGTGGACCATGTTCCTGAGTTAGTTGACTGGGCTGTGATGCCTACATGAATTAAAAATCAGAGCAAAGTAGCAAACTGAATGTTAAACAGGTTTATAAAGGAGGACAGTTATGGTACAAATGCCACATGTGTTTACATCTGAATAAAGTGATCTAAACCTTAACAAGAAAATACCTCCTGCAGCATATGATCCAACATATTGTCATTCACCTCAGCTAATAGTGATGAGCCACCTGCT